AATATGTTCCAATGGGCTTCTAGATCCGATCAGTTTATTGGTGATGGTGAGATATATGCTTCTTCTCTTAATATGCTCTCAAGCCTGATTGAATCAATAGACGGCTGGCTCAACCGCCTCGCAGAATCTCAAGAATGGGCGGCTTGGCAATCATGAAAGGAACTGTGATCCGCTAGTGAAAACTACCATCTTTAGTCCTACTGAGCATATAGAGTGGATTGGATGTTCCGAATGATTCCGGTTCCATTGGGACCTATCCTGGACTTTCCATGAAACCCACGCAATCCTTAAGGATATGATGGAACGCCCCAAGGGTGCACTCCATTGGTCCAAAGAACATAACTCTCCCTTTGAGCTCTCAAAAGTCGCCCTCATGGACTTTACCTTATCACCATTCAAAGCCCGCGATTCTACTGACATCATCCTGGATCACACTGATGGCCAACGTAGACGGACACTCACACGGATCAAAGTAACTAACGCGCACAGACTCTTAGGTGTCATACTGGACAATAAACTCAGATGGGGAAAACAACACGAACATGTCCACGCAAAAGCAACCAAATGGACAGCACTCTTTAAGAGACTCAACCACGTCTCCACAGGCATTTCTCTCAATCTATCACGCCGCCTATACATAGCCGTTGCCATTCCACGTATCACTTATGCGGCTGACACTTGGTTTGTCCCGTCTCGCACCCCGACAGATGCTGAAAGAAATATAGGCCCTGTAAACCTTACGACGAAACTTGCCTCCATCCAAAGGCAGGCTGCTATCACTATCACGGGTGCCCTAAGGACAACGGCGGGCGATGCCGCCGAAGTCCATGCCGATCTCCTCCCCATTAACCTTCTCCTCATGGACTCCTGCTTCCGCGCTGCCGCTAGGCTAGCAACCCTCCCACCAAGCCACCCTCTCTACCCTTTCATCAAACGCACTTCCCAACGCCTCATCCGTAGACATAGAACACCCCTTCACTACCTTTTCCATCATTCCAACATAGACCCCGCTTCCACCGAGAAAATCCTCCCTACTCGTCGATCGCCTAACGCTAAGAACAGATTCGCCACAAGCATAGCCTCCACTAAGGAAGATGCGACAGCATGGGAACA